CCACTACGTTCCCTGGTCACGAGCGGTATGCTGTCTGTACCGAGGCCGCCACTGGTGCCCCCCTGTCCACGTTCCCCCGGGACCCGGTGTCCGGCCTGTTCACTCTGGACACCGTGACCCCCCCGGCTGGGGCGCCTCCTCAGGTGGATGCGTCTACCCAGGTTGCTGCTGCCTGCTCCTGTCGGTCCCTCACTCACCCGACTCTCCTTTGGCACCACCGCCTAGGTCACCCTGCGCTCCCGCGTCTGCGTCACATGTCCCAGCACGGTCTTGTCCTTGGTCTCCCAGGTTCCCTCCCCGCGTTTCCCTCCTCCCCAGCCCCACCTTGCACGCCTTGTGTTGAGCGTCGGCTTCGCCGTGCCCCGCACTCCTCCTCGTTTCCCCCTACCGCCGCGCCGCTGCAGACCCTGCACCTGGACGTTTGGGGCCCCGCCCCCGTCCCTGGGCCGCGTCGAGAGCGCTACTTCCTTGTGCTTGTCGACGACTTCACTCGTTACACCACAGTCTTTGCCCTGGAGCGCAAGGCCGACGTGCCTGGCGCTCTCATCCCCTGGCTTGTCTCTGCGCGTGTCCACCGCGGTCTCCCTGTCTTGCGTCTTCACTCCGACCGTGGTGGCGAGTTTGCCTCAGGTGCCCTTGGTCGTTTTTGTCGTGCGGAGGGCATCACCCAGACGTTCACCCTACCGGACTCCCCACAGCAGAATGGGGTCGCTGAGCGACGCATCGGTTTGGTCATGGAGGTGGCTCGCACCTCCATGATCCATGCCGGTGCACCCCATTTTCTGTGGCCGTTCGCAGTGCGCTACGCTTCTCACCAGCTTAACCTGTGGCCGCACCCTCAGGAGCCGCAGGTTTCCCCGACTCGTCTTTGGACTGGGTCTCCTGGTGACGCGTCTGCGTTCCACGTCTGGGGCTGCCTTGCTCACGTCCGTGCCTCCGGCACGGACAAGCTCACTGCCCGCACCCTTCCCTGCGTCTTCCTCGGTCTTCCCCTAGACGCGTCCGACTGTCACTTTTACCACCCGCCGTCTCACCGCTTCTTTCACTCTCGGGACGTCACCTTTGACGAGTCCGTCTCCTACTACCGTCACTTCCCTCACCGTGGTCCCCCGGTTACCCCCCCCCTGTTCCTGGTCACTCCTTCCCCGGTAGTCCCTGCCCCTCCTCCTCCTCCTCCCCGTCCCGCTCCCTCTGGTGTGTCCCACTTCACCCCCCTTCCGTCGGTGGACCCGGTTGAGGAGTCTTCTGACTCTGGTGGCCCTCCTGTTCAGTTCTCGCCGGCCGCCCCTCCCCTGGCGTCCCCTCCCCAGTCCCCCCGTCCACCGCCTCTGCCGCCGCTGCAGCCGTCGTTGTCGCTGCCGCCGCCGCCGCCGCCGCCGCCGTCGCAGCACCCGTTCGCTGACTCAGGGGGTGGTCCCTCTAGGGGTGCTGGTGTGGAGAGTGCCGGTGGTAGCCGAGGAGCAGCTTGCGGTCCCGGTGTCGCCGTTGTGCCGCCGCAGCAGCAGTCCCCGCCGGTGTCCGCCCTTCGCCTGCTCGGCCTTCCGTCCCCCGACCCTGTGTCGGTTCCTCCCCGGCCGTCTCCTCCTCTTCCTGTCTACGGCCCTTTCTTCTCTCCGCCGGACTCGTCCCCGGCCCGTCTCCCCCCTCGTTCCCCTCCTGTGTCCCCTCCTCTGTCTCCTGACCCGACTCCTCCGTCGCACGTCTGGTCTCACCGTCCCTCCCGCGCTCGTCCTGCCTCGCCTGTCTTGCGCTCCCACCCTATGTTGCTTCGTTCCCACGCGTCTCGTCCTCCCCTTCTGCCGTCGCCTCCTCCGTCCTCCCTTGTTGGTGCACCCCCCCCGCTGTCTGACTACCTTCGTGCCGCTCGTCCCCTTGTTCCTCGGGTCCTTGCCTCTCTCGTTACCGACCCGTCTGTTCCGACCTCGTGCCTTGACGCTCTTGTCGCTGCTGTCGCTGACTTCGCCTCTACCCGCCGCCTTGACTACGCCTCCGCTCTGGTCTCTGACCCTGCCTGTCCTCCGTCTGTCGGGGGTGCTCCTGCCCTTTGCAGTGACGTCCTACAGGACCGCCAGTTCGAGCTTGCTTTCCTGTCCGAGGCTGCTCCCCATCTCTGTTCCATGCTGCTAGTCCCTGAGGGTGACCCAGACGCTTTCGACATCCCGACCCCTCGCACTTACGCTGAGGTGACTTCGGGACCCTGGGCCTCGCAGTGGATAGCTGCCATGGAGCAGGAGATGGCATCTTGGAGATCCACCGACACCTTCGTCGACGCAGTTCCCCCACCTGGGGTGAACGTAGTCGATGGCCGCTGGCTCTTCAAGGTGAAGCGCCCTCCTGGAGAGCCGCCTGTCTTCAAGGCGCGCTATGTGGCTAGAGGCTTCAGTCAGCGCGAGGGGGTGGACTTCTTCCAGACCTTCGCTCCGACCCCGAAGATGACTACTCTTCGGGTTCTGTTACACCTAGCTGCTCAGCGTGACTACGAGCTTCACTCCCTCGACTTCTCCACTGCCTTCCTTCAGGACAGCCTACACGAGCAGGTCTACCTGCGGCGCCCTCAGGGCTTCACTGGCACCTTCCCTCCTGGGACCCAGTGGCTCCTGCGGCGCCCCGTCTATGGCCTGCGCCAGGCTCCCCGTGAGTGGCACGACACTCTCCGTGCTACGCTTGCTGTCCTGCAGTTCTTTCCGTCTTCCGCAGACCCTTCACTCTTCGTTCGTGCTGGCCAGACTCCGTTCTACATCCTTGTTTACGTCGACGACCTGGTCTTTGCCACTGCTGACAGGGACGCACAGGCCTCCGTGAAGGCAGAGCTGCTGAAGAGACACACCTGCACTGACCTTGGTGAACTGCGCCGTTACCTTGGCTTGCAGATCTCTAGGGACAGAGCTGCGCGCACCATCACCATGACTCAGTCACACTTGGTGCGCCAGGTCCTTCAGAGGTTCAGCCTTCAGTTCTCCTCTACACAGCCCACCCCTCTGCCTGTAGACCACAGACTCTTTGCTCCAGTGTCTGAGGAGTTGGTAGAGCCCAGAGGCCCCTACGCAGAGCTGGTGGGTTGCTTCATGTACCTGATGACTTGCACTCGCCCAGATCTCGCATACCCTCTCAGCATCCTGGCTCGCTTTGTGGCCACAGGCAGACACCGACCGCAGCACTGGTCTGCCGCTAAGAGGGTTCTGCGTTATCTTGCTAGTATATCGGGCATGGGGTTAGTGCTAGGAGGACGCAGGCCAGTGGTCCTTACTGGACACACAGACGCTTCGTGGGCAGACGACGCTGAGACACTCAGGTCTACCCAGGGCTACTGCTTCAGCCTTGGCTCAGGTGCCGTCTCGTGGAGAGCTACCCGCTCCTCGTCTGTTGCGCAGTCCAGCTGTGAGGCTGAGATCTACGCCGGTGCCATGGCGGCACAGGAGCTCCGCTGGCTGACCTTCTTGCTCACTGACTTAGGTGAGCGTCCTAGCTCTGCCCCGGTCCTGTTCGCTGACAACAGGGCCATGATCCTCCTGTGTAAGGAGCCTCGACTCGAGGGCAGAGCAAAGCACATCCAGCTGCGGTACTTCCTCATGCGTGAGCTACAGCAGCGACGTCAGGCTCGCGTAGTACACTTGGCCTCAGGTACCAACACAGCTGATATCTTTACGAAGGCGCTTGCGCCTAAAGATCATCAGCGGCACTGTGTACAGCTGGGTCTAGTTCCTGTAGCCTCTCACTTGCTAGGACCCTGACTTTGTACTGTCCTTTATATGTATACTCAGACTGGACTTGTGTCCTCTCCCAGTGGCTGGACTAGTAGTGCCGCCCTGCTCTTGTTCTTTCCTTGTCGGTACTCCTTCTGACTGGTCTTTCAGACCCTTGTCTCAGAGGTTGGACTAGTAGTGCCGCCCTGAGCTGTTTGTTTAGGGCATTCCCCTATGCAGTCTAGGGGGTGTGTCAAACATGTGTATTTGTCATGTTTGTATAGACTGTATAGGGTCGCCTCTTATTGAGTACAACACTTAGGGATATCTGTGTGTACTCTCACTCTATCCATTATTCACTTCTCAATTCTGATACCAACTAGGGGCGGGCGCGAACGGTCAGGGGTCGGCTAGGGACGGGCGCGACGATCAGGGGGCCGGCTAGGAGCGATCGCGACGGTCAGGGGGCCGGCTAGGAGTGGGCGCGACGGCCAGGGAGCCAGCTAGAGACGGGCGCGACGGCCAGGCGGCCGGCTAGGGACGAGCGCGACGGCCAGGGGCCGGCTAGTGACAGGCGCGAACGACCAGGGGGGTGGCTAGGGACGAGCGCGAACGGCCGGGGGGCCGGCTAGGGACGGGCGCGAACGGCCAGGGGGGCTGGCTAGGGACGAGCGCGACGGCCAGGGGGCCGGCAAGGAATGTAGGCGCGGAAGCGTGAGCGGGCTAGGGGGGGATCTAACCTACAATGATACCATATCAGAAAGAAAATGATTCAACTAGAATGTGTGTGTACAAGGATATATAGACTAGGGTGTTGTACCCTTTAAGCCACAATCCAGTATTGTCTACTGTAACAACCTAAGTTACATTTGACAACCTCCTCATCACACCCTACCACACCTTCGCGGACATATCTTACGCGAATGTCTAGCATCTTTACTTTCCCTCACAGCCCATCCTCTAGCGACCCAGATACTCATCCTACTGATCCAGCTGTTATAGGTGCTGCACCCGATCTTAAAGCCCGTGGCTATAATAACAATCAAGAGGGCTGTTTAATTTGCTCTTGAACTTGGCACATGACTTGATCTTTAGAGTAAACGAAACAGAATAAAAAAGTTCGTTCTGCAAAACGGAATCTGACCGTGGCAGTTTGGCGACAGTTTTTGCACGAAACCATTCGGTGAAAAGTGCAATACGCGTCCTGCGACCGAATTCGTGGTCCCGTAAACAGTGAAAATGCGAGAAGAGAAGTGTTTTTTTGGCGAACAATACGAGATTCTGGAATTGCAGACCTTGAAATCAATTGAATTCCCCAGTCATAAAGCGCCTGTATTTCCTCGTCGCAAGCTGCTCGCCCAAACCCGTCGTAGAAACTCCATGCGATGCACACAGTTTTTTTGCGCAATTCGCATCCAAATGATCGTGTCGCAAGAAACAACAAAACGAGTTCTTTCGCCATTCCACCAATCAGCAAGCTCGACCAGAATTTGTTTCGACACACTTTTCTTGTTCAGTCTTGACCTCAGAGCTGCCTTCTACACATCGACGGATTTCAAAGCACCCAATTCAAGTGGTTTCCAGGTCTGCTAATTTAGCCGCGGGCTTTAAGACACAACCGAGCAAGGGGGTAAGCTAATGAGGCCAGAAGTGAAACTGTGAGGGCTGGCGTCCAGCGTTGCCATCCTTAACTAGAAGCCAGCCACCCTTAGCTGGACGCCAGGCACCCTTAGCTGGACGCCAGGCACCCTTAGCTGGACGCCAGCCACCCTCAGCTGGACACCAGCCACCCTAGGCTGGACGACAGCCACCCTAGCTGGACGCCACGCACCCTTAGCTGGACGCCAGCAACCCTTAGCTGGACGGCAGGCACCCTTAGCTGGACGACAGCCACCCTTAGCTAGACGCCAGGCACCCTTAGCTGGACGCCATGAACGCTTAGCTGCACGCCAGGCACCCTTAGCTGGACGCCAGGCAATCTTAGCTGGACGCCAGGCACCCTCAGCTGGACACCAGCCACCCTAAGCTGGACGCCAGCCACCCTTAGCTGGACGCCAGGCACCCTTAGCTGGACGACAGCCACCCTTAGCTGGACGCCAGGCACCCTTAGCTTGACGCCAGGCACCCTTAGCTCGACGCCAGGCACCCTTAGCTGGACGCCAGGCAAATCTTAGCTGGACGCCAGGCACCCTCAGCTGGACACCAACCACCCTAAGCTGGACGCCAGCCACCCTTAGCTGGACACAAACCACCCTTAGCCGGAGGCCAGGCACCCTTAGCTGGACGCCAGGCACCCTTAGCTGGACGACAGCCACGCTTAGCTGGACGCCAGGCACCCTTAGCTGGATCTCAGGCACCCTTAGCTGGACGCCAGGCACCACTAGCTAGATGCCAGGCACCCTTAGCTAGACGCCAGGCACCCTTAGCTGGACGCTAGGCAATCTTAGCTGGATGCCAGGCACCCTCTGCTCGACACCAGCCACCCTACGCTGGACGCCAGCCACCCTTAGCTGGACGCCAGGCACCCTTAGCTGGACGACAGCTTGGACGCCAGCCACCCTCAGCTGGACGCCAGGCACCCTTAGCTGAACGCCAGCACCCTTAGCTGGACACCAGCCACCCTTAGCTGGACACCAACCACCCTTAGCCGGACGCCAGGCACCCTTAGCAGGACGCCAGCCACCCATAGACGGACGCCTGGCACCCTTAGCTAGATGCCAGGCACCCTTAGCTAGACGACAGCCACGCTTAGCTGGACGCCAGGCACCCATAGCTAGATGTCAGGCACCCTTAGCTGGACGCGAGGCACCCTTAGCTGGATGCCAGGCACCCTTAGCTGGACGCCAGGCACCCTTAGCTGGACGCCAGGCAACCTCAACTGGACGCCAGGCACCCTTAGCTGGATGTCAGGCACCCTTACCTGGACGCCAGGCACCATTAGCTGGACGCCAGACAACCTTAGCTGGATGCCAGGCATCCTTAGCTGGACGCCAGGCACCCTCCGCTGGACACCAGCCACTCTAAGCTGGACGCCAGGCACCCTTAGCTGGACGACTGCCTGGACGCTAGCCACCCTCAGCTGGACGCCACGCACCCTTAGCTGAACGCCAGCACCCTTAGCTGGACACCAGCCACCCTTAGCTGGACACCAACCACCCTTAGCCGGACGCCAGGCACCCTAAGCTGGACGCCAGCCACCCTTAGTTGGATGACACCCACGCTTAGCTGGACGCCAGGCACCCTTAGCTGGATGTCAGGCACCCTTAGCTGGATGCCAGGCAATCATAGCTGGACGCCAGGCACCCTCAGCTGGACACCAGCCACCCTAAACTGGACGCCAGCCACGCTTAGCTGGACGCCAGGCACCCTTAGATGGACGACAGCCTGGACGCCAGCCACCCTCAGCTGGACGCCAGGCACCCTTAGCTGAACGCCAGCACCCTTAGCTGGACACCAGCCCACCTTAGCCGGACGCCAGGCCCCCTTAGCTGGACGTCAGGCACCCTTAGCTGGAGGCACTCTTAGCTGGACGATAGCCACCCATAGATGGACGGCACGCACCCTTAGCTGGACGCCAGACACCCTCAGCTGGACGCCAGCCACCCTCAGCTGGACGCCAGGCACCCTTAGCTGGACGCCAGGCACCCTTAGCTGGATGCCAGGCACCCTTATCTGGACGCCACCCACCCTTAGCTGGACGCCATGCGCCCTTAGCTGGACGTCAGCACCCTTAGCTGGACGCCAGGCTCCCTTAGCTGGACGCCAGGCACCCTCAGCTGGACGCCAGCCACCCTTAGCTGGACGCCATGCACGCTTAGCTGGACGCCAGGCACCCTTAGCTGGACGCCAGGCACCCTGAGCTGGACGCCAGGCAACTTGAGCTCGACGGCAGGCACCCTTAGCTGGATGCCAGGCACCCGGATGACACCCACTCTTAGCTGGACGCCAGCCACCCTTACCCGCACGACACCCACTCAAAGCTGGACGCCAGCCACCATTAGCTGGACACCAGGCCCCCTTAGCTGGACGCAAGGCACCCTTAGAAGGACGCCAGGCACCCTCAGCTGGACGCCAGGCATCCTTAGCTGGACGCCAGCCACCCTTAGCTGGACGCCAAGCCACCATTAGCTGGACGCCAAGCCACCATTAGCTGGACGCCACGCACCCTTAGCTGGATGCCAAGCACCCTTAGCTGGATGCCAGGCTCCCTTGGCTGGACGCCAGGCTTCCTTAGCTGGACGCCAGCCACCCTTAGTTGGACGCCCGCCACCCTTAGCTGGACGCCAGGTTCCCTTAGCTGGACGCCAGCCACCCTTAGCTGGACCCCACGCACCCTTATCTTGACGCCAGGCACCCTTAGCTGGATGCAAGGCACCCTTAGCTGGACGCCGGCACCCTTAGCTGGACGCCGGCACCCTTAGCTTGATGCCAGACCCCCTTAGGAACCCTTAGCTGGACGCCAGCTACCCTTAGCTGGACGCCAGCCACCATTAGCTGGACGCCACCCATCCTTAGCTGGACGCCACGCGCCGTTTGCTGGATGCCAGGCACCCTTACCTGGATGCCAGCCACCCTTAGCTGGACGCCAGCCACCCTTAGCTGGACGCCAGCGACCCTTAGCTGGACGTCAGGCACCCCAGATGGACGGCACGCACCCTTAGCTGGACGCCAGGCACCCTTAGCTGGACGCCAGGAACCCTTAGCTGGACGCCAGGCACCCTTAGCTGGACGCCAGCCACCCTCAGCTGGACGCCAGGCACCCTTAGCTGGACGCCAGGCCCCCTTAGATGGACGTCAGCCACCGTAAGCTGGACATCAGGCACCCTCAGCTGGACGCCAGCCACCCTCAGCTGGACGCCAGCCACCCTCGGCTGGACACCAGCCACACTCAGCTGGACGCCAACCACCCTCAGCTGGACGCCAGAGACCTTCAGCTGGACGCTATTAACCCTTAGCTGGACGCCAGGCACCCTTAGCTGGACGCCAGCCACCCTTAGCTGGACGCCAGCCACCCATAGCTGGACGCCAGGCACCCTTAGCTGGACGCCAGGCACCCTTAGCTGGTCGCCATGCACCTCAGCTGGACGCAAGGCCCCCTAAGCTGGACGCCAGGCACCCTTAGCTGGACGCCAGCCACCCTTAGCTGGACGCCAGGCACCCTTAGCTGGACGTTAGGCACCCTCAGCTGGACGCAAGGCCCCCTAAGCTGGACGCCAAGCACCCTTAGCTGGACGCCAGGCAGTCTTAGTTGGACGCCAGGCACCCTTAGCTGGACGCCACGCGCCCTTAGCTGGAAGGCAGCCACCATTAGCTGGACGCCAGGCACCCTTAGCTGGAAGCCAGGAACCCTTAGCCGGACGCCACGTGCCCTTAGCTGGACGCCAGTCACCCTTAGCTGGACGCCAGCCACCCTTAGCTGGACGCCAAGCCACCATTAGCTGGACGCCAAGCCACCATTAGCTGGACGCCACGCACCCTTAGCTGGATGCCAAGCACCCTTAGCTGGATGCCAGGCTCCCTAGGCTGGACGCCAGGCTTCCTTAGCTGGACGCCAGCCACCCTTAGTTGGACGCCCGCCACCCTTAGCTGGACGCCAGGTTCCCTTAGCTGGACGCCAGCCACCCTTAGCTGGACCCCACGCACCCTTATCTTGACGCCAGGCACCCTTAGCTGGATGCAAGGCACCCTTAGCTGGACGCCGGCACCCTTAGCTGGACGCCGGCACCCTTAGCTTGATGCCAGACCCCCTTAGGAACCCTTAGCTGGACGCCAGCTACCCTTAGCTGGACGCCAGCCACCATTAGCTGGACGCCACCCATCCTTAGCTGGACGCCACGCGCCGTTTGCTGGATGCCAGGCACCCTTACCTGGATGCCAGCCACCCTTAGCTGGACGCCAGCCACCCTTAGCTGGATGCCAGCGACCCTTAGCTGGACGTCAGGCACCCCAGATGGACGGCACGCACCCTTAGCTGGACGCCAGGCACCCTTAGCTGGACGCCAGGAACCCTTAGCTGGACGCCAGGCACCCTTAGCTGGACGCCAGCCACCCTCAGCTGGACGCCAGGCACCCTTAGCTGGACGCCAGGCCCCCTTAGATGGACGTCAGCCACCGTAAGCTGGACATCAGGCACCCTCAGCTGGAAGCCAGCCACCCTCGGCTGGACACCAGCCACACTCAGCTGGACGCCAACCACCCTCAGCTGGACGCCAGAGACCTTCAGCTGGACGCTATTAACCCTTAGCTGGACGCCAGGCACCCTTAGCTGGACGCCAGCCACCCTTAGCTGGACGCCAGCCACCCATAGCTGGACGCCAGGCACCCTTAGCTGGACGCCAGGCACCCTTAGCTGGTCGCCAGGCACCTCAGGTGGACGCAAGGCCCCCTAAGCTGGACGCCAGGCACCCTTAGCTGGACGCCAGCCACCCTTAGCTGGACGCCAGGCACCCTTAGCTGGACGTTAGGCACCCTCAGCTGGACGCAAGGCCCCCTAAGCTGGACGCCAAGCACCCTTAGCTGGACGCCAGGCAGTCTTAGCTGGACGCCGGGCACCCTTAGCTGGACGCCACGCGCCCTTAGCTGGAAGGGAGCCACCATTAGCTGGACGCCAGGCACCCTTAGCTGGAAGCCAGGAACCCTTAGCCGGACGCCACGTGCCCTTAGCTGGACGCCAGTCACCCTTAGCTGGACGCCACCCACCCTTAGCTGGACGCCACCCACCCTTAGCTGGACGCCATGCACCCTTAGCTGGACGCCAGGCACTCTTAGCTGGACGCAAGGCACCCTCAGCTGGACGCAAGGCACCCTCAGCTGGACGCAGGGCACCCTCAGCTAGACGCAAGGCCCCCTAAGCTGGACGCCAGGCACCTTTAGTTGGATGCCAGGCACCCTTAGCTGGACGCCACGCGCCCTTAGCTGGAAGGCAGCCACGATTAGCTGGACACCGGCACCTTAGCTGTAAGCCGGCACCCTTAGCTGGACGACAGCCACCCTTAGCTGGACGCCAGGCTCCCTTAGCTGGACGCCAGGCACACTTAGCTGGACGCCATCACCCTTAGCTGGACGGCAGGCACCCTTATCTGGACGCCAGACCCCCTTAGCTGGACGACAGCCACCCTTAGCTGGACGCCAGGCTCCCTTAGCTGGACGCCAGGCACACTTAGCTGGACGCCAGCACCCTTAGCTGGACGCCAGGCACCCTTATCTGGATGTCAGGCACCCTTAGCTGGACGCCAGGCACCCTTACCTGGACGCCAGGCACCATTAGCTGGACGCCAGACACCCTTAGCTGGATGCCAGGCATCCTTAGCTGGACGCCAGGCACCCTCCGCTGGACACCAGCCACTCTAAGCTGGACGCCAGGCACCCTTAGCTGGACGCCAGGCACCCTTAGCTGGACGATTGCCTGGACGCCAGCCACCCTCAGCTGGACGCCAGGCACCCTTAGCTGAACGCCAGCACCCTTAGCTGGACACCAGCCACCCTTAGCTGGACTCCAACCACCCTTGGCCGGACGCCAGGCACCCTAAGCTGGACGCCAGCCACCCATATACGGACGCCTGGCACCCTTAGCTGGACGCCAGCCACCCTTAGTTGGATGACACCCACGCTTAGCTGGACGCCAGGCACCCTTAGCTGGATGTCAGGCACCCTTAGCTGGATGCAAGGCACCCTTAGCTGGACGCCGGCACCCTTAGCTGGACGCCGGCACCCTTAGCTTGATGCCAGACCCCCTTAGGAACCCTTAGCTGGACGCCAGCTACCCTTAGCTGCACGCCAGCCACCCTTAGCTGGACGCCACCCATCCTTAGCTGGACGCCACGCACCGTTTGCTGGATGCCAGGCACCCTTACCTGGATGCCAGCCACCCTTAGCTGGACGCCAGCCACCCTTAGCTGGACGCCAGCGACCCTTAGCTGGACGTCAGGCACCCTTTGCTCGACGGCACGCACCCTTAGCTGGACGCCAGGCACCCTTAGCTGGACGCCAGGAACCCTTAGCTGGACGCCAGGCACCCTTAGCTGGACGCCAGCCACCCTCAGCTGGACGCCAGGCACCCTTAGCTGGACGCCAGGCCCCCTTAGATGGACGTCAGCCACCGTAAGCTGGACATCAGGCACCCTCAGCTGGACGCCAGCCACCCTCGGCTGGACACCAGCCACACTCAGCTGGACGCCAACCACCCTCAGCTGGACGCCAGCCACCTTCAGCTGGACGCTATTAACCCTTAGCTGGACGCCAGCCACCCTTAGCTGGACGCCAGCCACCCATAGCTGGACGCCAGGCACCCTTAGCTGGACGCCAGGCACCCTTAGCTGGTCGCCAGGCACCTCAGCTGGACGCAAGGCCCCCTAAGCTGGACGCCAGGCACCCTTAGCTGGACGCCAGGCACCCTTAGCTGGACGTTAGGCACCCTCAGCTGGACGCAAGGCCCCCTAAGCTGGACGCCAAGCACCCTTAGCTGGACGCCAGGCAGTCTTAGCTGGACGCCAGGCACCCTTAGCTGGACGCCACGCGCCCTTAGCTGGAAGGCAGCCACCATTAGCTGGACGCCAGGCACCCTTAGCTGGAAGCCAGGAACCCTTAGCCGGACGCCACGTGCCCTTAGCTGGACGCCAGTCACCCTTAGCTGGACGCCACCCACCCGTAGCTGGACGCCACCCACCCTTAGCTGGACGCCACGCACCCTTAGCTGGACGCCAGGCACCCTTAGCTGGATGCCTGGCACCCTTAGCTGGACGCCAGGCACTCTTAGCTGGACGCAAGGCACCCTCAGCTGGACGCAAGGCACCCTCAGCTGGACGCAGGGCACCCTCAGCTGGACGCAAGGCCCCCTAAGCTGGACGCCAGGCACCTTTAGTTGGATGCCAGGCACCCTTAGCTGGATGCCACGCGCCCTTAGCTGGAAGGCAGCCACGATTAGCTGGACACCGGCACCTTAGCTGTAAGCCGGCACCCTTAGCTGGACGACAGCCACCCTTAGCTGGACGCCAGGCTCCCTTAGCTGGACGCCATCACCCTTAGCTGGACGGCAGGCACCCTTATCTGGACGCCAGACCCCCTTAGCTGGACGCCAGCCACCCTTAGCTTGACGCCAGGCACCCTTAGCTGGATGCCAGGCACCCTTAGCTGGACGCCAGGCACCCTTAGCTGGACGCCAGGCACCCTTAGCTGGACGCCAGGCACCCTAAGCTGGACGCCAGGCACCCTCAGCTGGACGCCAGGCACCCTTAGCTGGACGCCAGGCACCCTTAGCTGGACGCCAGGCACCCTAAGCTGGACGCCAGGCACCCTCAGCTGGACGCCAGGCACCCTCAGAGGAGGCCTTGGCTGGTCAGAGAAGGCCTCTGGTGGTCAGAGGCCTCTGGGCGAGCGACGTACTCGTCCACCCAAGGCCCGTGTTCCCACCCACTTACCACACAAGCAGCAGGGGCAGTGATATGAGCGAGCGAATCGGTGCATCCATACGTTTGGTGGAATGATGGTGGTGTGCAGTGCAGCGGAGTGGGCACAGGCAGACAGGAATGATGGGATCGCCTCGCGGGTAACGGATGAGTTGTCGGATGAAAGTCTCGACTGGTTCACGCACAGCAGGCAAAAGAGACGAATACGGTGAGTAGTACTTGTGAAAGATCAAGAACTGCAAACGATGCCACTACAAAAGACGTTAAATGACCTTGGAGGGAGAAACGGCTGGCAGCGCGGCTTGATAGATGCTTGGAAAGATGAACACGTGCATGCACGCACTCGACACACGGCGAACACACAGACAGAGTGAAGGGGCTCGTTAGAATCAGAAGCAGATAAGGCAAGGACTCAGCAGCAAGTAATAGACTCGAGACGCTGTGCACAGCGGTGCCTAGAGACATAGTCTCCCCCCCATAGCCGCTTCTCCCCACACGTACCAAGCAAGCTATCAGAGCAGCAGGATGACAGACGACGGGCTTCCTGGAGGGATCGCATGATGCGACACATGAGCTCATTGGGCCCATTGAGCTCGTTGGGCTCATGCTTTGCGATCTGATCAAGCCTAGCTCCGTGCGCGTGTGACGAAGAAGACAATGCGAGTGACGACGCGAGCATCGTCAGTTGTGCCTACAAGTGCGAGTGACGACGCGAGCTGTGGTTCACGGATCAGACGTTGTCGAGGACCCCTCGGAGGTAGACTGGAGGCGTCGAAAGAGTCTGGACGGCAGTCGCGAGGAATGTCTTCTGCGGCTGGCGGGGCGACTTGATCAATCCTTGGAGACGCGGGCACAGGCGTGCATGCACACGACACACGGCGAAAACACCAAACAGAACGAAGATACTCGTTAGAAGCAGCAGATTACGAAGCAATGACTCAGCAGCAAGTTACAGACTCGAGACACAATGCACTGCGGTGCCTTAGACCTACTCTCCCCCCCATAGCCTCTTCTCCCCACACGTACCAAGCAAGCTCTGGCAGCAGCAGCATTTGCAGAAGACGAGTTTCCTTGAGGGAGCGAATCATGCGACACATCCTGGCGATCTGATTTAGCCGAGCTCATTGTGCTTCTACCGGTTGTGGCAGCAGCAGCGGCAGCGTCGCTCCTTGCATCCTCTTCCGTTTCTAGTTGACATGTGAGTACGGAAACTGATGAGATGCGGTTCTGTCGACAATCGGCAGTAGATGCCTTTTCCTATGCATTGGTGCTGCTCTGGAAATGCGTACACGAAACACTAGCGTTCAATCCGAACTGAGGACTCCAAAATGCTAGATGAAAGTGGAAGCCGGGATACTACGTGGGAGAGGCAGGAAAAACCATCCAAATAGACTAGGGGCAAAGCCGTGGGAAGTGGAGGACACACGAGCCGGAGTCACGATCAGGAAGCATCAGCAGCGTAGTGGTTCGAGTATGAGGGAAAGCAGACTGGCCAAGTCAGTAACGAGCAACGTAGAGCACAAAGGAGAAAGCAGAGCAAGGAGAATGAAAGCTGAGAGCTTCCAGCAGAGAATTCGTGGCGCTAAAATTGTGTCAGGGCGGTTCGCGAAAATAGCTTGCGGGGAATGGGCTTCTGGTTACTGTAGCACAGTCAAGGATGCCACGTGATTGGTTATGTGGTCGCCACTTGGCCTGAGCCGGGCTGGTTTGGGTAAATCCGTTATTGTGAGATTCGGAAGCCTCTGAAGAGGAGAACCAGATTTGCAGAGAGCAAGTCAGGAGCAATTGGACGGCTGGGAAGTTACTTCGGGTCACGCTTTAACGCCGGAAGGAATTTGGTTTTAGCTAATTACGAGGGATCTGTTTTTGGGTGAGCGACCACCCTTGCTCAGCTGTAGAACCCTTGCAAGTCGTATCTTCAACCTCTGACCTATGGTACCCGGGAACGTCTGCGGAACCGGTTTCTGTCAGATTGTTACCTTAACGACAGCAGTTTTGTGCGTGGCGGTTGGCCGCGAAAAGTCATATTCGCTGTAACATCTGTGTTTAATCGCTCGTGACGCCAGAACTTGTTCAATGTATGCGGATCAGCAGGCAGGTCCCCTGGGCCCAGCAGTTCCTCCTCACCTCACCCATCACTGCATATCGCTGATAAATCATCATCCTTCCTCCTCGCAGTCTTTCTGCTTCTCAAACTACTCCTCTCCCGTTTCGTCCTCCAGTACCCCGGTGTGCCGTTCCTTCACGCAATCTTTCTCGCTCTCGTTGAAAGCATGGTGCGGCTAGAATGCGCGGATTTCGTGATTCTGCTTATAGCGCTGCTTCTTCCTCCTCTAGGCGTTTTTATCAAGCTCGGTTGCTCCTTTGAGTTCTGGGTGAGCGATGGTGGTCAGGGAGTGGTGAAATTTACAGCATCAGTCTACGATCTCAAATCCGTCCAGTTTTCGTTACGGTCTGACATGGGATCCGTACCTCGTTGACGCTGTGTGCTCCTCGTGTCGTCTTGCTAAGCTGCTTCAAGCAGCGTGCTCGTCTCCACTTCGCCGTCACTCACCCGTTTCGTCGATGCCCATATTAATCAACGTTTCGATCAACGTTTCAAATCATTTGCCCGTGTTCTTCGCGCCGTGGCACCGTCTCTGCGTATTCTGCCAATCGAATTTCTCCCGAACTCATTTGTCTCCCTTTTTCGTTCCCTATCCGCGCTCTCCCTTCCCCCTTCCCCTGATCGTGTCTGCTCGTCCCTCCGCCCTCCGTTTGTCTCTCGCGCGTCCTCCGCTGCTCAGCTGGCTCTTCTTCTCAGCTTCCTCGGGTGAGCTCCTGCCCAACTTGCTCTTTCTCTCTCTCCTGCAGGCTGCCTCTCCTGCTCTATCCTGCTCATTCAGTGTCCTGCTGGCCGTCTGTGAACGTATGCACACTAGTTGTCTCCTATTCCTTTCCACCAAGCGCGCTGGCCTCCGTCTGTATTTTTGCCGAATCAAGATGCACCCAGCGCGCGCTGAACCCTCGGTGCACGTGCCGCTCGATGCGCCTCCCATCTCGTTTCTGCTGATCCTATTCTCGTGTGATCGCTGGCAGATACATCCCTGGAGCCGTGTATGCCTTCTACGTTATCTACACTGCGTAAGCCACCCAACCCCCTCCCCTCCCCTCCCTCTCCCTCTTTCTCTTTCATGCAAACTCACTCATTCCCACACAGATACTCGATTCACCCACACCCTCCCCCTTCCTGTCTTCCACCTCTTTAGCTCCCCCACTCCCCTCTGCCGCACCTCCCCTTTCCTTCTGATCCCTTCGTTTCACTCACACCCCACCATGGTTTGTGCGCGCTCTCCCACGTGTCCTCCTCCCCCCCACCTCCCCCGCCCCCTCCTCCACCCGCCCCTTTCCCCCTCCTCCGCGTTCCCCCATATCATGCCTGTTTTAACCTTCTCTTCTCATCATCTGCTGTCCTTCGTGTCTGTGTTGTCATGCAACTCAACAGCATCCAGGAGGGAGATGGTGTACAGATTTACTATGTGCGAGCATGACCGCTCAGCACATTCCTTCCAGTCCATTCTGTCAGAACTCAGCCACTAACCACTGAGTTAAAAGGGCTTGTTCATAGGGGGTCAGTGCGCCCATAGCCCCCCAGGCTCTGCACCTGTGGCCCTTCCCCGAGGATCTGCTCAAGGGTAACCCCAGCAGGTCACTCGACAGATTCGTCCTGTTTGGTCAGGTGTTGCTCCCATGGAGCTCCAGCCCAGCATAGCGGTAGATGGTTGTGACATGCATGCATAGCCGAGCCAGTGTACATTGTGTGCTGTAGTTCACAGTGGTGTGTATCAGAGTAGAAGAATGAATTAAAAGAGAGAGAACATGTGAATATACATAAGAGTTGTACCCTATATAAGACATGACTCTATTCAGTCTATGCAAACATAATAGATATACATGTTTGACACACCCCCTAGACTGCATAAGGGCAGGTTATCAAACAGTGAAATTGATTGAATAGAGAGAGAGAGAGTACACAAACATATACCTAACTGTTGTACTCTCTAGAAGATGACCCTATACAGTCTATACAAGCATGATAACTAAACATGTTTGACACACCCCCTGGACTGCATAGGGGAATGTTCTAGACAAGCAGCTCAGGGTGGCACTACTAGTCCAGCCTCTGAGACAGGGGTCTAAAAGACCAGTCAGAAGGAGTACAGGCAAGGCAAGAACTAGTACAGGGCGGCACTACTAGTCCAACCACTGTAAGAGGACACAAGTCCAGTCTGAGTGTACACACAGATATATAGGACAGTACAAAGTCAAGGCCCGAGTAAGTGAGAGACTACAGGAACCAGACCAAGCTGCACACAGTGTCGCTGATGATCTTTAGGCGCAAGCGCCTTCGTAAAGATATCAGCTGTGTTGGCACCGGAGGCTAAGTGTACTACGCGAGCCTGGCGACGCTGCTGTAGCTCACGCAGGAGGAAGTACCGCAGCTGGATGTGTTTCGCTCTGCCCTCGAGTCGAGGCTCCTGACACAGGAGGATCATGGCCCTGTTGTCAGCGTACAGGACCGGGGCAGAGCTAGGCCGCTCACCTAAGTCAGTGAGCAAGAAGGTCAGCCAGCGGAGCTCCTGTGCCGCCATGGCACCGGCGTAGATCTCGGCCTCACAGCTGGACTGGGCAACAGACGAAGAGCGCGTAGCTCTCCACGAGACAGCACCTGAACCAAGGCTAAAGCAGTAGCCCTGGGAAGACCTGAGCGTCTCGGCGTCGTCTGCCCAAGAAGCGTCTGTGTGTCCAGTAAGGACCACTGGCCTGCGTCCGCCTAGCACTAACCCCATGCCCGATGTACTTGCAAGATAACGCAAAACCCTCTTAGCGGCAGACCAGTGCTGAGGTCGGTGCCTGCCTGTGGCCACGAAACGAGCCAGGATGCTGAGAGGGTATGCGAGATCTGGGCGAGTGCAAGTCATCAGGTACATGAGGCAACCCACTAGCTCAGCGTAAGGACCACTGGGATCTACCGACTCCTCAGGAACTGGAGCGGAGAGTCTGTGGTCCAGAGGAAGAGGGGTGGGCTGTGCGGAGGAGAACTGAAGGCCGAACCTCTGAAGGACCTGGCGCACCAAGTGTGACTGAGTCAGGGTGATGGTGCGCGCGGCTCTGTCCCTGGAGATCTGCAAGCCAAGGTAACGGCGCAGCTCTCCAAGGTCAGTGCAGGTGTGTCTCTTCAGCAGCTCTGCCTTCACGGAGGCCAGTGCGTCCCTGTCAGCAGTGGCAAAGACCAGGTCGTCTACGTAGACGAGGATGTAGAACGGAGTCGAGCCAGCACGAACGAAGAGCGAGGGGTCTGCAGAGGACGGAAAGAACTGCAGGTCAGCAAGGGTAGCACGCAAAGTGTCGTGCCACTCACGAGGCGCCTGGCGCAGGCCGTAGACTGGCCGCCGCAGAAGCCACTGGGTCCCAGGGGGGAAGGTGCCAGTAAAGCCCTGAGGGCGACGCAGGTAGACCTGCTCGTGAAGGCTGCCCTGAAGAAAGGCAGTGGAGAAGTCGAGGGAGTGAAGCTCGTAGTCACGCTGAGCCGCTACGTGTAGCAGCACCCGAAGAGTAGTCATCTTCGGGGTAGGAGCGAAAGTCTGAAAGAAGTCCACCCCCTCGCGCTGACTGAAGCCTCTAGCCACGTAGCGCGCCTTGAACACAGGCGGCTCTCCAGGAGGGCGCTTCACCTTGAAGAGCCAACGGCCATCGACCACGTTCACCCCAGGTGGGGGAACTGCGTCGACGAAGGTGCCGGTGGATCTCCAAGATGCCATCTCCTGCTCCATGGCAGCTATCCACTGAGAGGCCCAGGGTCCCGAAACCGCCTCAGCGTAAGTACGAGGGGTCGGGATGTCGAAAGCGTCTGGGTCACCCTCAGGGACTAGCAGCATGGAACAGAGATGGGGAGCAGCCTCGGACAGGAAAGCAAGCTCAAACTGGCGGTCCTCCAGGACGTCACTGCCGAGGGCAGGAGCACCCCCGACAGACGGAGGACAGGCAGGGTCGGAGACCAGAGCGGTAGCGTAGTCAAGGCGGCGGGTAGAGGCGAAGTCAGCGACCGCAGCGACGAGGGCGTCAAGACTCGACACGGGAACAGACGGGTCGGTAACGAGAGAGGCAAGGACCCGAGGAACAAGAGGACGAGCGGCACGAAAGGAGTCGGACAGAGGAGGAGACGCAACGACAAGAGAAGACGGAGGAGGAGACGGGAGGAGGGGAGGTCGAGACGCGTGGGAACGGAGCAACATAGGGTGAGAGCGCGGGACAGGGGAGACAGGACGAGCACGAGAGGGGCGGCGAGACCAGACGTGTGAGGGCGGCGTCGGGTCAGGAGACAGAGGAGGGGACACAGGAGGGGAACGAGGGGGAAGACGAGCCGGGGACGAGTCTGGCAGAGGGAACACGGGGCCGTAGACGGGAAGAGGGGGAGACGGCAGGAGAGGAACAGGCGCAGGGTCAGGAGACGGAAGGCCGAGCAGACGGAGGGCGGACACAGGCGGGGACTGCTGCTGCGGCGACACAACACCAACACCAGGGCCACAAGCTGCGCGACGGCTACCTCCCGAACCCTCCACACCTGCACCCCCAGAAGGGACACCCCCAGAGTCCACAAACGGCGGCAGCGACGACAGCGGCGGCGGCGGCGGCGGCTGCAGCGACGGCTGCGACGGCGGCGGCGGCGGAGACGACGGCTGCAACGGCGGCGGCGGTGGAGACGACGGCTGCAGCAGCTGCGGCGACGGCGGCTGCGGAGGCGGTGGAGGAGGAGACACCGGGGGAGGGACAGACGGCGAGGACTGCGCCGGAGGACTACCAGAGTCAGAAGACTCGTCGACCGGGACGACCGACGGGAGGGGGGTGACGTGAGACACACCAGAGGGGGCCGGACGGGGGGCGGGGGGGGGGAGGGGCAGGGACCACCAGGGAGGGAGGAACCAGGAAAAGGGGTGGAGTAACCGGGGACCACGGTGGGGAAAGCGGCGGTAGAAGGAGACGGACTCGTCAAAGGTGACGTCGCGAGAGTGAAAGAAGCGGTGAGACGGCGGGTGGTAGAAGTGCCAGTCGGACGCGTCAAGGGGGAAACCGAGGAAGACGCAGGGGAGGGTGCGGGCAGTGAGCTTGTCCGTGCCAGAGGCACGAACGTGAGCAAGGCAGCCCCAGACGCGGAACGCAGACGCGTCACCAGGGGACCCGGTCCACAGAAGGGTCGGCGAAACCTGCGGCCGCTGGGGGTGCGGCCACAGGTTAAGCTGGTGAGCGGCGTAGCGCACGGCGAACGGCCACAGAAAATGGGGTGCACCGGCGTGGATCATGGAGGTGCGAGCCACCTCCATGACCAAACCGATGCGTCGCTCAGCGACCCCATTCTGCTGCGGGGAGTCCGGCAGGGTAAACGTCTGGGTGATGCCCTCCGCACGACAGAAGCGACCAAGGACACCTGAGGCAAACTCGCCACCCCGGTCGGAGTGAAGGCGCAAGGCAGGGAGACCGCGGTGGACACGAGCAGAGACAAGCCAGGGGATGAGAACGTCAGGCACGTCGGCCTTCCGCTCCAGGGGGAAGACGGTGGTGTAGCGCGTGAAGTCGTCGACAAGCACTAGGAAGAAGCGCTCGCGACGCGGCCCATGGACCGGGGCTGGGCCCCAGACGTCCATGTGCAGAGTCTGCAGTGGTGCGGTGGTAGGGGGAAAAGAGGAGGAGTGAGGGGCACGGCGGAGCCGGCCCTCGACACAAGGCGTGCACGGTGGGGCGGGGGAGGAGGGAAACTCGGGGAACGAACCGGGGAGACCAAGGACGAGACCGTGCTGGGACATGTGACGCAGACGTGGGAGTGCAGGGTGACCAAGGCGGTGGTGCCAAAGGAGAGTCGGGTGAGTGAGGGACCGACAGGAGCACGCGGCTGCAACCTGGGTGGACGCAACTACCGGGGGGGAAGACCCAGCCGGGGACGGCGCGGTGTCAAGTGTGAACAGGCCGGACACCGGGTCCCGGGGGAAAGTGGTAAGGGGGGCACCAGTGGCGGCCTCGGTACAGACAGCATACCGCTCGTGACCAGGGAACGTAGTGGTGACGCCAAGGTCCTGGAGGCAGCCGACACCAACTAGGTTCCTGGAGAACGAGGGGATATGCAGACCTGTGAGAGTGCCCGAAGGAACCGCCGGACAGGGAAGGGAGGTGGAACTGCGGGCAACGACGGGACCACCGGAGGGGTCAGCAAGAGTAACTGCAGCGGGAACAGGCAGCGGCGTCAGCGTCGTGGAGTCGCGGAAGAAACACCGGGAGGCGCCAGAGTCCAAGGTGAAGGAAAGCGCAGCAGTCGCGCGAGGCAGCAGTGAAGCGGTGGAAGCACCAAGGCTAAGCAAAGCAGGAGATCCTACGCCTGACGCAGCAGGGGAGTCTACGCTAGGCACCGCTACACTAGGCAACACGGGGTAATAAGAGGGAAGCACACTAGAGTCATCAGCATACATCACATGCAAGGCCGCTACAATGGCATCCATGTCCAAGTCAAAAATCCTAATGCTACGCCTAAGCAAGCTGTGCCAGTCCGGGAGGTCGGGCGCCGGGCCAAAGCGCTGGCGGAACAGGTCGTCCAGGCGACGAAAACAGCGAGGAGTAGAATGACCGATCTTACCGCAAACGAAGCCGCGGCGAGGACCGGTCTGGATCTGGTACTGACAGGGCCCGCCTCCAGAACCACCACCCGGTGCACCACCACGCGCACGACCACCACCAGCTCCAGGCCACCCAGGTGGGAGAGTACTCGCCTGCCTCGTCTGCGGCGGCTGCTGCGGCTGCTGCGAAGGCTGCGGCTGCGGCGACTGCTGCTGCTGCGGCTGCTGCAACTGTGGAGGCAGCGG